ATTCATCTTAAAATGTATTTTTATCGTACTTACTGACTGCTATTAAGAAGGTAAATGCAGTTATAGTTATTTGATTACACTTCTATTTAAGAATAATTCCTAGAAATTTTTTTAAATTTTATTACCATTTTGACAGTAACTTGTTTGAAATTCATAACGCTCATTTTCTGTCCTTAAAGCCGCCTTTGGGGTATATTAAATATAGTCTCAACTTTTAATGCTGAATAAATTTACCTGCCCAAGCGTATATTTCAGAAAATTTATAATTCTTATTTAAGTTGTCTAAAGACTTCTTCTTCTTCTTTTATTTTTACTTCCCGTTTTTGTATATATTTTTTTTTATTTATTCAAATTTTAATAATTTTTGACTATTTTCAAACCGTAGTTTTACACATTCATACACTGATTTGGCTTTACCTAGAAACTGAGTTAATTTTTTTGGTCACACCTGCTGGAGTTCTCATGTGACCGGTCAAGCCAAAGTTATAAAAACTTTTATTTAGGAAAATGTATGTAAAAGACAAAAGTTTCTTTATTATCCTTAGAGCATCGGGCATCGGGCATCAGGCGTCAGGCATCAGCCATCTGACATTAGGTATTAAGCATTGAGCATCAACTCTCTAATGTTATGCATAAATATGACACTTATTAAGGAAAAGCTTTCGCAAAGTTTTCATATGGGAAATCAACATGTGCTGCCAAAAAAGCCGGTAAGCGCGTATGCCACCATAAATATAGTTTCTTCCTAAGTAACACAGAAAATTTTGTTCTACTTTAATTATTACTCAGATCGATTTGCCTACTACTATAAATATGATTAATGACTTTGGGTTTAATTTAAGTGTCTATAGAATTGATGCAATACCACGGCAAAGTGCTGTGAGTTGTACTTATATCAATTTTCAAATAAACAGGAAAGGAAATACAGGAAGTACAAATAATTTTAATATCTCTATCTTGCGCCATCAAATAGTATAAAATATATAACTTTATTAATATAAATGTTTTTGATATATTCTGGTATTTCAAAATTTTTACTTAAGATGGTTTATGTATAAAGAAAGCGGTTTCCTTGAATTATATGCACTTAAAAGTTAACTAATTAAAACTTTGGCAGATTAAATTTCATAACAAGGTAATCGCCTATTCCAAAGAAATAAACCATCTGTGCGATACCAAATAGTGGTGCAATCAATATAACTCTACAAAGTCCACCTTTGAAAAATGCTAGTATGCCCTCTAGCCTATAAGTTTTTCTTATGCAGTCCAAGGAGCCAGTATACTTTTTTATTTTTGACGCTTGATCCGCCGCTTGTAAACGCGTTTTTATTAAATCAACAGGCGTTGCAACAAAAGCCCCTGCAGAACCTGCTGCAACTCCAGCCACAAATGAACACCAAGATTCAGCATCATCTGATCTTGGGCCCTTGCGAGGGCACAAGTCATTTAGTGTTTCAAAAAGCGGAAAGTAAACAACTGAAAATATTACTTCACGTAATATAGTCAAATGACTACCTTGATAAAAGCCCCATATGCCATTATGCTGTACAACTCTTTTTGTTATCTGCCACGTTGTCCATGGTTTTAAAACTTTTCCTTTTTTATCAAAACTAGCTTTTGCTGCATCGAGATTTTGCATTTTAATTTTTATTAGTTCCATTGGATTTGTGACCACTACTTGTGATGCGCCAGCTATAGCACCAGAAACAACTTGATTTGTGAAGGTCAGATCGTGGAATATATTTTTTTTAATAAACCAATCACAAAAAAAGTCATTCGATGTTAAAAAAATTGCCTTCTCCCAAGCTGTAAACATAACACTGACTAAATAGCCCCTGTACAATCCCAACAATTTTTCACTTTTATATGTTTTATAAATGCAATCGATCATACCGTTGTACATTTTCGTTCCGTCTGGGTGAACTTGCTGGCTTTGCAAGCGCGTTACCAATAAATCAAGTGGATATGTTGCCGTTAAACCTACTATACCTGCTATTCCACCGTCAATAATACTGGGAAGCAAGTAAAATTTACGAGGCTGTGGTAAAGCTTCTTTTCGAAACCCAAAAAACTGAAATATGGCCGTCAGCAATGTCATACTCCTGACAACAGGACCGCTGTCCTTTTCAAATTAAAAGCCGTCTGCTGAAAGTTATCGTAGCTACAAGAAAAGATGGTCACTTACATACAAAAGTTGCAATTTATAACTGTTACCAAAACTTTAATCAGTTGTGAACGGATTTTATGTCGATTATGCACAATTAATAAGAGATTAATACTGCAGATCGCGCGCCATATCAGATGTGCTAATTTTCATCATTTCAGTGCATAATGGGTGAAATTAAACTTCAATTATTATATTATAGTACACTAAATTTTTATTAATTTTTTTTAAAAAAATTTTATGTGACATTAAAATCAAAAGTAATTTTAATTAAATAAGCTAGTACGAACAGCTTTTACCACTATATGTTAATAAACATGAGCGTTGCCAAATCAACAGTTATGCAAAACGTGATGCCTAATGGGTGTAAAGATAAAAGTGATGTCAGCAAGTTTTTATCAATACTGTCCTCTTCCAATACTGAACCACGCTTAATATATATATTTTAATAAAACAACTACCATCTCATCTTTCTTTTGAGAGTCTTTTTCTTCCTGCAAATACAAATTTATTGAAGCGGCTCTCAACAAGGGCTCTGTAAACCCTAGCAATATAAGGAGCGAAGAATCCATGCTGTTACAACATTTCAAGTAAGGAATATACATCTTATATTAATTAACAAATGTGTTATTTAATTAACAAATGTGTTTCCATTGTAAAAATGTTAAATAACGCTAAAAATCCATCATCATCGAGTCAACTGAAAAATTACGAGAGCAATAACACTTCGTTCAGTAATGTGTGTGACTAACTAATTAAAACACATTTTTTTGCCAAAATTCGTTTTTATTTATCAATATAGTCCCCTTTTAGAGAGATACAATCATTCCAACGCTTTTGCAATCTTTCGATACCGCCTTTGTAAAACGATTTTTCTTTGCCTTCAAAATAGGCGTTAGTTTCGGCGATTACTTCATCATTTGAGCCAAATCTCTTACCACGGAGCATCTTTTTGAGGTCTGCAAAGAGCCAGTAGTCGCTGGGGGCCAGGTCTGGAGAATACGGTGGGTGTGCGACAGCAATTCGTAGCTCAATTCGTTCAATTTTGCCATCGTTTTCATCGACTTGTGACACGGTGCATTGTCTTGGTGGAACAAAACTGTTTTCTTTCGCCATATGAGGCCGTTTCTTTGCGATTTCGTCTTTCAAACGCTCCAATAACGCTATATAATAGTCGCTGTTGATGATCTTCCCCTTCTGGAGATAGTCGATGAATATTATTCCATGCGCATCCCAAAATACAGACGCCATAACCTTGCCAGCCAACCAACAGCCAACCCATTTGGAAAACACCTTTTTCATACCCAAATGTTCGTGTATTATGGTGTGTACATTGCCTGCTGATATCTGTAGAATGTCAGCAATCTCTCTCACTTTCACTTTACGGTCGGACATAATGACTTTCAGTGTTTTTTTAACGTTTTCCGGAATAACAGCGTCATTTGGCCGTCCAGTAGATGGAATATCATCGGTGTCTGTACGACCACGTTTGAATTCGGCATACCAGTAACAAATGCTTCTTTTTGATGGAGCAGAGTCCGACTAATGTTTTTCAAGCCATTCCTGGTATGGAACAGTATTTTTTTTCATTAAAAAACAATGATAAATCAGCACACGGAATTGCTTTGAATTCATTTTTTTTCGAAAACTCAAAAGTAGCGTCACTTAAAGCACTGTAACTTGTAAACAAATGGTCGGATTAACATATGATTTTGACGTAAGCCTAAAAAGGTTGCCATTTTCGAAAAAAAATATTTATTTATTATTAGTGCCACCATCTATGTGTCAGTCACACACATTATTGAACGAAGAGTTGTGTATGACATGGCATATATAATGGAAGATATTCACTTGTTAGATGATTACTCAGAGATTTCTTCGAAGAGTAGCGATAGTTTTGCAGAGTCCTCGAGTTATTTACAATGAGATCAATATGTCAGCATTATTTTTACTAAAATGAAAATGGATTCTGCAGTGAAAAAATGTTCATCTGGAACCAGCTGGTGGATTGATGTACTTATTAGTAACCCATAAAAAGTTATGTTAAGCGAGGTATAATATATATATGAAAGACCAGCAACAAGGTGACAAGGTTAACTAAATTTGCTTAGAAGTGACTACTACTATAAATTTTTAAAATTCTAAATTAAGTTTTTACTAGTCTTGTAATATTGCTTCAATCTATAAAGCACTTTTCACAAGACAACTTTCATCAAAAATTTTTAGCAAAGTAGAGCGGAAAAGCTTTTCTTTATGCTAAAATCGCGTTATATTCAATATAAGTGATGCGATGATAATTTCAAACAAACCTGATATAATTCTGGATATTCTATAAAGAACTCTAGTACATACATTCAGAAAGGACTAAAAAAGGCTCTTAAAAATAAAAGCTATATTATTAAAGTTTTTCTATATTAATAAGATTTTTTTTAGACTCTAAATTGAAATAAGTCATTAGAAAATCTTCATGGTTTTTACAACTTAAGCTTTTAGCTTAAGACAATCATTTTCAGTATTCAAAAAAAAAAGGTGAGAAAGTGCTATATTTTAAGAATGTTATAGTTAGCTAAAGTAACATGAAATCAGAACTCTCTGTGATTGAAGACATCGAAAGCTTCTCTTCTGGAAAATTTCTCTTGTAATAACAGTAACGTGATCTTTAGTTCCTAATTAAAAATTAGCGGACTATTTGTATTTAAGAATTAAAGAATAAGGAATTAATTAAAAATTAGGAAAGTTCATAATTACTATTTAAAAAAAAAATTTTTTTTGAATTTCAAATTAAATTTATGAATTCTCTTCTGGTGTCTCTAAACACTTTTTAATATATAATTATTTTTATGATGTTGCCTAGCCACTAAGACTTCTGATTTTTTCCTTTATCCCTTTATATAATCCCTTTATATCCAGAAAAGAATAGTAACAACCACTAAAAGACAAACAGTAAAGACGATATGAAAGACACAGTAGAAATAAATTTTTTTTAAAACAAAAAAGTTAAATGAAATAATAATATTTTTTGGTATACTTAAATAAAGTCAATTTTTTGAAAAGCATATGATTTTGTAACTTCAATTATATTTGCATCCATCTAACTTTTGATGGAATTGCTTAGGCACAAGACAATGTGTTAATTTCAGTTAATAATATCTCGAACGAAGTACCCATCGAATTTCTTAAATATGCTTTGGATCTATGTATCGAAAATATGACAGCATCATTTAACTATATCTACAACGTCGACAATGTACCTTTTTCTTTTCGCAAGTCGATTATCTTCCCATTGTACAAATAGGCGACATAAAAAATCCAGAAAACTATAGAGGTATATCTTTTAACAATACCATGGCGAAAGTATTTACAAGTATTTTGCACGAGCGCATACAAGACTGGGTGGAAAACCGAGCACTATTAAGTGAATTTCATTTAGATTTCAGGAAAGATTCAATATATTCAATATATTTCTTTTAACCAATATTGCAAAAATGTGTATTTCCAAAAACAAAAAACCCTATGTCTTTTTCGTGGATTTCAAGGCGGCCTTCGATTCAATAGTACGAAATGCACTCTTTTATAAGCTTGGGAACTTAGGATTGTCAATAAAAATGATACTGATTATATAGAACTTGTATTATGGTAGTAAAACAGCAGTGTGGGATGGAAATAAAATTTCTAATTAGTTTCTTATTCAGTCTGGTATTAAATAAGGCTGTGGTTTAAGTCCACTTTTATTTACTTTATTTTTTGATGATCTGGTAACTCTTTAAACGGTGGCATTGTGGTTGATGGTATGCAAATAAGCATTCTGATGTAAGCAGATGAAGTGGTGTTGGTTGCAGAGTCACCAAGAACAATGCAACTAGACTAAACGAACACTATAATACCTGGTATTTGTAAGTCAATACATCAAAATTAAAAATAATAATATTTAAAACAAGTGAAATCGAAGATGATCCCGAATTTGCAAACGTTGCCGATGAAATAATCGTCCCGCCTCCCAACCATAATGAATTCAAAACAATTATATAGCTGCAGGCGCCGATGGTTCAGCTGATGAGTTGTTCAAAGCTGAATACAAAGAACATCAAATGCATGCTACAGTTAATTTGCAAAATGTAGTCGGATGAATGCATGGCTAATGCTTGGAATTTAAGTGCCCAATCTAGAAAAAAAGATACTGTAATAGATGCGAAACACAGTGCTTATTGTTTAAACGGTTTATTAATAACGAATTAAAATCAATCTTAAAATTAAAGCAAAGTTCAGCGGACAGTTGTCTTAAGCTAAGCATTACATTGTTTCTTATCGCTAAATACATAACGACGCAGAGTATATACATCTTATTCTAGTAAGTGTGCATATGTGTGATTGCTGCTTTAGCCTTAACTCACAGATGGTTAGGTATGTTGTGTTAGGTTTCGTATGCCCATTGCACAACAAAATAATGTGCTGGTAAGCATTCAGACACAAATATACACAATACAATATCCTGCAAACTGCATCAATAATCGCAGAATCAGTCTTTCAAATATTACATATAAGATCCTGTCAAACGTACTATGCGAAAGATGTACTGCACACTTTCATTGTGGCTTCGGACCTAATAAACCCATCCTAGAACAGATATTTATAGTTAGTCAATTCCTGGAGAAGAAACAAGAAAAACAAATCAACACACACAATATATTTGCTGATTTGAAATCCATTTTTGATATAACGACTAGAAACACACTTTATGCCGCTATGTTTAAATTTGGTATTCCAGCAAAACTTATTCAGCTATATGAAATCATATTAAGGAACACAATCAGTTCCATTGGAATTGGAAAGAACCTCTCCGAATCGTTTGACACGAAATGAGATTTCCGATTAAAACCGTACAAAAGCATGATGCTGCTAGCGTATGGTACCGATATTGATATAGTTGACCTGAACACCGGCACCGTCAGTGCGTTTTTTGTGAACTTAAAAAAATAAGCAAAATACATAAGTCTTAAGATCAAACAAAGTTCTTAGGATCTTGAAATCTCAATGTCACTATTGGCAGTTATAAGTTTGAAGTTATCAAAAATTTTGCTCATTTGGTGAAGTAGCATTAACAGCAAAAATGAATCAGCCCAGAGATTCAAAGATTCGCGAGAAAAGTTCTGCGGAATATTTATGGTCCTTCACGCGTTGACAACGAGTAATGAATTTGTTATACATTAA